ATCAATAATAATAATAACAATAACAAAGGTTGTTACACATTATACCACAGAGTTTTACTGATAATACCTATTCAATTCAATGTAGTAAAATGTGTGTTAACGTGATGTGATGTGGGCCGATGGCCTTAATTATTGAATAACACTGACTTATTCATTGTATTCAATGTAGTGAAAAGTGTGTTAAAGTGATGTGGTGAAATGGTATGGGTTTAACGCCTCTATTAACACTATTAGATTATGTAAGCGGCGGGACCTCCAAGTTTAACGTCCGTCTCCGATAGGACCGGGCCAAGTGGGAAGTTCGTGTAAAGTGCCTTTCCCAAGGACACAACGTCGGACCGAGCTGAGGCTCGAAACCTCGAACCCGCAACCTCACGATTACGAGTCCGGTAGCCTAACCACTAGGCTACCGACGCCACATAAAGTGATGTGGGCCAATGGCCTTAAACATTGAATAACCACTAACTGACATACTGTATTCAATGCAGGTGTGTTTTTACACCCACAATGGCACAACTGAGATCATTTAGGAAGCGGGCTTAGACCCTGCTTGTCAACAGCCCGGGAAGAGAGAGATACAGCGGTCCAGCGGAAAGTCTTAGGAGATATAGGAGAAAGATGCTCACTGCCGTAGCCTGGTCTTTTGCGTGTAAAATGGTGGGGGTGGGGGGAGGGGGCGTTTTCTTTTTTCCTCCTTATAATTCATATTTTATTTATCTATTTATTTTATCATCAATTCGTTTATATATTCATTCATTCATGCATTCATTAATTCATTGATTCATTCATTTATTTACTTCTTTCTTTCTTTCTTTCTTTCTTTCTTTCTTGATTTATTTGTTTATTTATTGGTTTTGGTTGTTTTTTTTTAATTCTTGTGATTTTTAGAGCGGCCTGTGTTACTTACTAATTAGTGTATTTTACTCCCAATTTTAAGTAGCTTTTTCATTTTCACCCTCGACAGTATTTTATTGTTTGTTTCGTTGGGTTTTTTTTCTCCAGAATAGACACCAACGTCGTATGCCTCAAGTGCCACGGAAACACATACCTCGTGGCACGCTGTGAGAGGAGCAGTGAGCCACGCTCACATTGCGAGTGAGTTATCCTCTTCTTATCGCCCTTTATCTCCGTCATAAAATGGAAGGGGTCTTTTCAATAACGTCCATTTTTGCCAGAATCAAGATTTTTGCATAGGAGGATAAAAGAAAGGGGACTGCACCCTGTCAGCCTCTGTGGAGACTGTATCTTTGATTTTCAGAGCTACGTCCTCTGTTTTAACTAGCCTTTCCCAGTGCAATCCTACAGACTTCAACATAAGCTAAGGACCACCTTGACAGACAGCTCTGATTCTTTTTTTAATCCGAAAAAAGACAGCAAGGAATGTTTTTAAAATTTTTACTCTGGAAGTGTTAATAGGTTACCAATGCGTACTGCAAAGCTTCCCAAAGGGGCAAAACCACCACGTACAGCACGGAAATCCTCGGGGAATTTTAGTCAAATTTGCCGTTTTTTATCGACTTGTGTGCAAGACGCCGTTTGCACAAAATCCAGTATCACATCAACATGCCACCATAATGAAAGCTGAGAGACTTTGAATGTGCGAGAGCTATGGCGTGGCTGCAGGATGGAGTTGGAGCCCGAGAAGTTGCCAGAAGGCTTGCAGTGTCGCACTCTGTCATTGTCCACCTGAGGCAGCGCCATCAAGTCACTGGATCAGCCCAAGAACGCCCTCGTGCAGGTCGACCCGATAAGACCACTCAGAGTGTTTGCAAGTGGTCCTTAACTTTTGTTGAAGTCTGTAATTATATAAACCCATCCTACTCAAAATCCTACTTCCACTACTCCTACTGCTACTGCTACTGCTACTGCTGCTGCTACTGCTACTGCTACTGCTACTACAGTGTACTCACAACGTACTAAATTGAATCTAGTTATAATCGAATTCAATCTACGGCGAAACGATTGTTCTTATTTTCCACAGGTACATGCTGTGACGTAATAGCGGCGAAACGTCGACTTCCCCTTTTAGCACGAGTTTATTAAGGCTTTGAATTCCTTTTCAGTAACCAGAAAAGTTTTCTGAGAATGATTTTGATTTGTTTTGTTTTGTTTTGTTTTGTTTTTGGGTTGGGTTTTTTGTATGTTTTTTGTTTTGTTTCTTTGTTGTTGTTGTTTGTTGTTGTTGTTGTTGTTGTTTTTGCAAGTGTTTTACTACGGCGCTGGCAACTGCATAAGGTCATATGTCAGCGCGGGGCACATCAAACTACAATTTTCTCCTTTCACCTCCTTGCCTGCTCTCTCATCATGTTCTGTCGCCTGCTTTCGTGTCCACTTTCTGCCCACACCCCCACTCTGAACCCTCCTTTGGGCCCCATGACTCTTTCTGCAGCCTCTCTACTGCTACTCGTTCGCTCCTTCTTACTGCTGTTTTTCAGCCATACCCTTGATTTTAGGGTTGGCAAGATCTAACACCTAGCTTTCTCGGATAAGGGCGAAAAATCTCGGAGGTCCTGGTCCCGTATGCAGGTTGCGCAAGTTAAAGATCTCTTGATGGTTTAAAATCGATGAGAGTAGGCTTCGGCCGCCACCCGAACAAAATTCAAAATTAATTTCTACCAAACTGAAACTGCCTAACGTTTCCCGCGCGCTCATATGACCTTATGCCGTTGCGAGCGACGAACAACAACAATAATAACAACAATAACAACAACAATAACAACAACAATAACAACAACAATAACAACAACAATAACAACAACAATAACAACAACAACAATAACAACAACAACAATAACACAATTACAATATTCCACTTTGCTCCCTTTACTGACCCCAATTGTGACCAACTCCCCAGGAAGTGCCCAGCACACCAATACCAGGAGGAAGAGTGGCACCTGAACAGGGACTGCCTGGACAGCTCTACCAGGGTCTTCTCGGACCCCCCCTGCCCTGAGGACACGTACAACGACGGAGGGGAGGTAATACAGTCCGACTCGCAACCCTAAGGTCGTGCTTTTTGTGTTTTGTGTTTTTTGTTGCTTTTTTGGGGAAAGTGTTTTACGGCGCTCGGAACTGCATAAGGTCATATGAGTGCACGGAACATATTATACATTTTCAGTTAGTCGTAAATTTTGAATTTTGCTAAGGTGGCGGCCGAAGCCTACTCTTATCGATTTTGGAGCACCAAGGGATCTTTAACGTGAGCAATTTGCACACAGGACCTACAACATTTCTTTTGTCTTTATCCGAGAAGGCTGGGTGTATTCTTACCTACCACAAGATCAGGGTTGTGGCTGAAAGACAGCAGTAAGAAGGGGCCAAGGAGAAGCATCAGGCGCGGTTCGTCCAGAAAGCATGGTCGTGCAGTGCTGCCCAATTTTTTAAAAAAATATTATATTAGGTAAACCACCCACAATAATAAAATAAAAGAAGCCAGAAACAAGCACTAACCAAATATTATTATCAAAACAAGGTCCTCGATGGCGCCGTAACTATCATTTCTGTGTCTATAGCGCCGTGAAACATCTACTATGCCATGCCAAAGTCCACGCGCTTTATCTAAACATAATAGGATTTTCAACAGTGGTAATCTGACATATAAATCGCTCTTCGGGATAACCCAAGCTATGACGGCTCTCCTACCGAGTTTGGCGGTAAATTAATATTAATAAGACGACACATCTCAATTGTCCTCCTGTCGAATAGTGCCGAAACATAGCCCACAGTTCGGGAGACTAAAAATATACGCAATAGACTGTACTCTATTCTATTCCAAAATTGGTCGCTTTTAAGGACAAGTGGGCTAACCCAGATTTCGAGTGATTCCAGAAATCTTGACCTACCCCAAAAGTGGGCATTGCCCTACCTATAAGAGAAGTTTGGTTTCATTTGTGTGAATGTGTTATAGAGAAAACTCTCGTTGTCTTTTAAAGAAACTGAACAAGTGGCAAAAACTTTACCTTCGGTTTTCTCAAAACAGCCTTTACCGGGATAGCCCCCTTGTGCTTAAAAGTGACCAATTATGTTAGCCCCGGAGCAATCCAGGAGAGTGCTCAAGTGAATTGTGATTGGTTCATGGTTTGTCATACCACGATTTTAAGTGCCTCTTTGACCGCGAACCTGTGGGAGGCAAACGTGCCCGCCCTGTGAGGTGTGCCTTTGAATGGTTTTGTTGTGGAGAAGTGAACGTTTTTACTTGAGTGTTCAGTTCTAATGCAGAAGGAACGAAATAATTGATATTTAGCTAACAAATTTAGTTCTAGAAATGAAAGAGACAAGTAAAAAGAATGCAAATAAAAGCACTAATGTATTTTTTGTCTGATGTTTCAGTGTCGTCCTTGTCCTGAGAAGTGCCCGGAAGGACAGGTTCGTCGGCGAGGCTCGGCATGTCGAGCTAATGGCGCTATCATGTGCTGTCTGGGAGGCTACAACAAGACAAATGGCAACGCCAAGTGCTCGTAAGTAACAAGAAATGACATATTATGTGTCATGAGGCGGTGGAATCAGGCACTCGTCAATTTTTGGGTAAATGGAGTTATTGGTATCATCTTAAAGGTTGTTCGTGTACAGCTATCAAGAAAGGAAAAGGAAGTTGCTTTCACCAAAGTGAAGGACTCTAAAAGTGAAAGGGAACCAGGGAAAAGAATCAGCAGGGAGTTTGGGGAGGACGTAGAACCGGGCCAAGAATACAAGCCAGCTGTGTATTATTTTGTTGTGGTTGTTACAGTTACCCTCATAGCTGTAGCAGGCTTAATCAGAGCGGCTGTAAAGAGAGGCCTCGTTCGCTTAAGGGGAGATACAGTTGCACCTTTGTAAGACGGAATCGCAGGGGAGCCAGAAAAAGAATTCCGTCTTAGACTTGGAAATTGTGGGTGGTTGGCGGGTGCTCTGGTGTGATTAGCTTCTTCTTTGCTATCAAACATCTATCCTCCTTATCTCTCCTCCTTCTTTTTTGTGTTTGTTACTCTCTTGTAACACCTCTAATCTTCGGCATTTATATGACCTTATTGTGTTGCAAGTGCCGTAAAACTTTTACTAAAAAGACAGGGAAATTTAGGGGAGATAGAAAGCGTGGGAAGGGGGGGGGGGTTCAAATGCCCAGCCTGTGGGATCAAGGATCGCTTCTCCGATCGGCAAGCAGTGGTCAAAACTTCACACCTCTCAGCTGCTATCCTGTCTGATAATGACATGCGTCAGTCTTACTTATCCAATTACCTCAAGCGCTTTCCTTTTATAGGACCACTGTTTGACCTATTTAAAACAGAAACGTTTGAACATCGCCTTTGCTTCCACCTTTGCCCCACCCACCGGTGTAACAAACACAGTCAACCAATGCCACCCCTCACTGCCATCATGTAACAACGATTTGAGGAACTCTTTTCTCGGCTGGCCGTACGATGAGGGCGGCAGACATTGGTCAATCTAATTTCATACCTCTCACACCTCTACCCAGGGAAGTTTCCGGAGTGGCTCGCTTCTCGAGCACTCTCCCGGGCAGTTGTGAGATTTCACACCCACACTACCCTGACCGTCTGCATCGCTCGGGGCTCACATGATGGGGTAACATGAGACGGCCTAGGGTAACATCTAACCCCAAATTGCACCCCAACTCCCTTTCCTTGCCCAGCGACATGGCCATGGCGTTAAGTTTAAGCCGGCGGAACCAAACTTGCGAGTTAAGGAGGACTCCAGGGTTAGATTTAGCGAGAATATGGCCGGCAAAGTTCTGTGACTTTTACGCTGAACTCAAAGTGTTCTTAGCGATCAGAAACTGAACATTTACTTTTTTGTGCTTTTCAGAAACGTTGACCAGTAAAATCCACACTGAAATTACGAGTTATTAGATACGACATAAACGGTGTTGGATAAAATTTTAAAAAGAAAGAATAAATTGGGGGGGAAAATTACCGAGAGAGTGGAAAAGTGTTGATTTCTTAGATTTCGTTATATTGACGAGCGCCTGATTTCACCACGATGCCTCACATTTATTCGTGCATTCATTAATTAACAGGTGGCTGGAGGCTGAGAAAGTGGAAGAGCTAACACGCAACCATAAGAAAGTTGCAGATACCGAACCGGAGGAACTGGAAAGGAAACCAGAGGGAAAAATCAGCTGGGAATTTGGAGACGGCGCGGTGATGGACCCTGATCTCAGACATCTACCGGCCCCCAATTTTGTTACAATATTAATTGTTACTATAGCTTCGATACTCATCTTCGTGTTGGTTGGACTGAAAATTTTACTGAGACAGCTCTTCCGCTCTAACACTTACGTCCGACTGCAGACCAAAGACACATCTTGAACCATAATACACATATCAGAAACACGAATTTACATAATTTTGTCATTGTATGAATTTGTTGCTGACCTGTTTTACGTTTCAAAGGAAGAAAACAGATTGGAAATATGTGCACTGATAAAGAAGGTATGTTTCAAAACAGCGCGTCTTCGATCGCTGTCGAATGACTGGAATACGCGTCCCCTATGAGTTAAAAGAGTTAATTGGTAATGGACTGGGACACGGTAATTCTATTTGAAAGTACATGTATGATGTGTGTATCTCTGTGTGTGTGTGTGTGTGGGGGGTGATTGTCAGTTTTGTGTTTGTGAGTTTTAGGAGGGGCAGGGTATTTTTTCTCTCTGATATTATGTGAGGGTTTGTGTATGAGAGTGAATGTGGGAGTGGGTGTGTGAGAGTGGATGTGGGAGTGGGTGTGAGAGTGGATGTGGGAGTGGGTGTGTGGGAGTGGATGTGGGAGTGGGTGTGTGAGTATGCCCAGGGCTTCCGAAATCTACCAGTTTTTTTCCCCTGTAGTTACCGATTTTGGACCTAGGAGACAGCTCCTATGCTACATTGTATGAACTGCGACGCGCGGCACAGCGAAGTGATACTGCTGCATTACACAGTCAGGATCAAGAGTTTATGGCCTGTTCTTTTGTTCTCTCTGTTTCTTTTGCTTCTTTGTGTTTTTTTATTACTAAATTCAAACTCACAGCCACTAGCCAATAACCACCCCTCCCAACCCCCCTGCCTTAAAGCCGTTTGCCCACCTAACGGCTCGTACGCACTTAACATCCACGTTCGTGTGTGTGGTATCGTAGTGTGTGACACGCACGAAAGAATCTATTTCTTTTCTGAGCCCTTTCTGTATTCCCACCAACTATTCGTGTTCATGCGGTAGTGATAGTTGTCGTTCGTGCGTGTGGTGAGTTCAAGGAGGTTACAGTTTGTTTTAAGCTTCTTTGGGAGAGTTTAATAGCAGCAAGGACCTTTAACCTCCATGAATGGCAGCCAGAACATTTCCTCCGCCTGCTCTCTCGTTGTGACCGACCGCTTCCCCACGGGAGGAAGATGAGGACCTGCTCTTCTTTAACCCTATCCGTACGTCGTGTTTTACTATCGTATCCATACGAGGTGGGGAACTCTGCGCCACCACTTTCCAAACTGGAAATTTACTCGTAAATCTGATCCGTACGCTTTGCGTAGTAGTCTATCAAAATGATTTTTTTTTTTTTTAGAAATATTGAAAATTTCAAAGAGATCTTCGTACTAGAAGTATTCTATTTGAAGAATACAACCCCAGGGGTACAAAATGACCTCAGGGCGCACTGGTAGGGTTAAGAGAGTGATCCCCCAGTCTCCAAGATAAAGACATTAGATGTCGTACAGAAGATGGAGCTGCAAGCAGAAATGCCCAGTGTTCTATTCAAACACTTGACAAGTCTACTTGCTACTACAGCGGGGCCCACAACAGGTGCAACGAGAGAGCAAGAAATGCGTCAAGACCAATATCAATATCAATATCATCAATATCAATATTATGTTTATTTATCTATCTTTTAATGAAATGTCTTGTTTGTAATTGGTGCTTTTTTTTCAAGGTGGAGAGTTAGCAAACTCAAGAGGCTGTCAAATGTACCTGGTCTCGTTATTCGAATGTATCCAATACATGTCGCTTTTAAGGAGGAGCGGGCTAACCCAGATTTCGGGGGTTTCAAGAAATTTTGACCCCCACCAAAAGTGGGCATTGCCCTACCTATCGGAGAAGTTTGGTTTCATTGGTGTGTATATTTGTTTGGCTATAGGGAAAAAAACCTCCTTGTCTTTTAAAGAAACTGAACAAGGGGCAAACATTTTACCTTGTTTTTTCTCAAAACAGCATTTTTTCTGGATAGCCCCCTTGTGCTTAAAAGCGACCATTGGTTTCCATGTGACAAAATTTTGGGTAGCATGGTTATATTGGCACATGTTTTAGAAACATAATTACCTCATAATATAATGAAAAGAAAGCCCCACTTAATGAACTACGTTTACAAGGGTGACTTTAGTCTTTTTTTAAAAACCTTTTTTGTCTTTCTACTACATAACTTTTGGGCCTAAACACTTGAAGCTGACCCTGATTTACCGGAAATGGGAACTTATAGGTAGACAGGCAGGCCTGGATTATGCCTTCATGTGCGTGTCTGCGTGTGTGTGTTTGTGTGCGAGTTTTTTTGGTGTGTGTGACTGAGTGTGCGTATGTGTGTGTGTGTGTGTGTGTGTGTGTGTGTTTATGGTAATGTGTGTATGCGTGTGTGTGTTTGTGTGAGTGTATATATATATATATATATAAATATAAATAAATATATATATATGTATATATAAATATATATTAGATATATATATATATATATTTATATACATATATATATATATATTTTTTTTTTTTTTAAATTATTTTTTATATATATATATATATATATATATATATATATATATATATATCTGTCTGCCCCGCTCAATATCAGTCGTAAGACGCCTTCTGCTATTACCAGCTACGAGGCTCGAAAGGCAAAAAAAATGACTTTCCATGAATTTTTTGTTTTCTGAATATATTGAAATTTGATGTCTTCTGCTTCATTTAAGATAAAAATAAACAACTATAATCGACTATAAATAATTATTTTGATTTATTTTGGAGTTGTGTGAGGTTTGTTGTGAGCTTGGGTGACGAGATGAAGGAATTTGGACCTTGCAAGTGTGTAGCTGTGAGATTATTTTTAGAACCATTACCTCATGGCCACCTTAGCTTCAACTAAAGATTCTCCACTAGTAGAAAATCTTTGCTCCAACATTCTTCATTCGAAACTATTTTTAGATTTTGACCCCTTTTCGAGCATGAATGGTCGGAAAAGTAAACAACTCTGATTGGTTTAACGGAGTAAAAACTTCTAGCTCACTTCAAACTTGTTTACGTAAACAGCTGACTGTGTGGGCGTGCCCTGCTAGCAGCTATCGTCTGTTGATCCTTTAGTTTTACACTTGGATTGACTTTAAAAATTCGTTTTTATTGTGTTTTAGAGCTTTAAAAAGATTAAATGGCCTTCCTCTAGATCTCTCAGGGCGGACTCCATACCAAGAGACCACCGTGTGTGTGTAGATCTATGTGTATTGGTGTGTTTGTATGTGTGTGTGTGTGTGTTTGTGTGTGTGTGTGTATGTGTGTGTGTGTGTGTTTGTGTGTGTGTGTGTGTGTGTGTGTGTGTGCAATACTGGTCAGGATGTTCTAAAAAGATTGCCTATTTTTCTATACACGCTTTTGTATGTCTGTAAAAAGTAAAAAGGATTTGCTTAGAAAAATAAAATAAAATTAGTATCGGCAATGTGTCTTGCGCTCTTATTCTTGTGTTGAGGGGGAAGATTTGGGGGCTTTTTCCCCAGATGTCACTCAAAGACATAATAAATGCTGGCGTTGGAGGCTTGGTGGTTAGGTTGTCGACTCGCAACCGTAAGGTCGTGGGTTCGAATCCCGTCAGGGGCCCGACGTTGTGTCCTTGGGAAAGGCCCTTTGCACAAATTTTCCTCACTTCACCCAGGTGGAAATGGGTACCCGGCTATAGACAGTGAACGATCTTGTCAGTTTGATAGTGTTTGAGCGCGTGGAATCCGCAGCTTGCACTGTATGCTTCCGCGGAAGCGAGAATGTTTCTGAGTGTTCTCAGAGGGTCTGCTGGGGTAATAAGAGTTGTAAAGTCCATAGAGCATGCTCTTGAGCACTCTCTCTCTCTCTCTCTCTCTCTCTCTCTCTCTCTCTCTCCCCCCCCCCCTCTCTCTCTCTCTCTCACACACAAACACGCACACACACACTCACACACACACACACACACACACACACACACACACACACACACACACACACACACACACACACCCTTCTTCTCTCTCCTCCGTTTGCCTCCAACTGGGATGCCTCTATACATTTTCCTCTTTCATCACACGTTCACACAATTAACTTCCTGTCAGCCTCTCGTAGAGATACAATTGATATCCTTTATGACTAGCATCAATTTCTTTATAATTAGCCCCTTGGTCTGGCACCCACTTAGTCACTTCCGTCTCGCCTGTTACCACACGTAATCCTAAGACTCCCTTTGTTAGGCCCATTTCCCTGCTAATATACAGCGCTCGTTTAGTTTTTCTCTCAGTTGTTCCTGAGGAAGCCCACGAGGCGAAACGTTGAGGTATTAAACAAATTTTAACATTTTATATTGTTATTTTATTTTGTCTAAAATTAAAACAAGACTCTCCCTCCTACTCTGCTTTTCCTTACTTGGTCTGGCGGACTCCACGAAGGAATTTTCGGCGAGAGTTAGGCTCTTTTTCGGCTCCATTGACAATATGGTTAGAGGCACCCCCACTCGTCCAAATAGCTCCTTTCGAATTGCCATTGTTCCTGGACTTTCAAACATATGTTTAATATCCTCCTTTTCATGGCCGTATCTTCGGCAACGTGGGCTGAGCTCTTCATTCACAAAGTTCTTATACCATCTCAAGCTCCAATGATGGTCCGACGGCAGTCTCACTAGCTCAACCTGGTCCCAGCGACATGTGATACTTTGTTCCTGCTCATTGGAGTACCCTGAATACACATCGTCCTGGTGCTGGTACTTAGTTTTGCATGGTGGGTCTCTGATTGCCCCTTTGATCTTTGGAAAGACTCCTCTGTATGATATTGGTCGTCGGTATCCTTCAATCTCTCTGGCTTCATTAGCAGCTTGGTCTGCTCCCTCATTCCAGCATGGCTTGGAATCAGCTGGACTTTTATTGTGGCTGTGGTTTCACTGAACTTGCCGCGCAAATCATTTATGTCCGAGTTGTTGCCTAGCAGTCCTTTGCAGAGAGACTAACTGTCAGTCAAGATCAGCACGTGATGATGATGATGATGATGATGATGATGATGATGATGATGATGATGATGATGATGATGATGATGATGATCTATATCTCTATATCTCTAGCTCTGAGGGAGATATAGATAGATAGATAGATAGATAGATAGATAGATAGATAGATAGATAGATAGATAGATAGATAGATAGATAGATGCAG